ATTTTTCACTCGGCGATTACAGTTCCCAACAATTGATGCGTATTTTAAATTGCAATACACAATTACATTGATGTTATCTACTTCTTATGAGACTTTGTTGTTATAATTGTATTCGTTCATTGTAGGTGAAGTTTTTGTCATTAATTGCTCCACTTAGATCGTTCAATGAGAAATCTACACTAAGTTTTAATAGCCAAAGTGATATTGAGTGTGGCTGTTAAATGCTCAGCACAGCGACTTTTGGCGCCAGAAATTTACAGTCTTAAATATTAGATTGATATCATAAAAGTTTCGTGTTACGCGAATAATTAAAATCGTCGGAATAAATCAGACGAATTTTTTTTATAACGAAAAGTTTCTCAGAATTTATTTAAGCGTGTGGGATCGCAATGGCCGCGCGAAACCGAAACAGACCAAATCGACAAAGAGGTTTTTTGTCATTTCTATCACGTCCGTAGTTAATTGTTCGATTCATAAAGAAAATAAAAGTCGAGATAATCCCCTGATGTTATTCGATGCGTGGCCGAGGTTCTATTCAAAGTGCCGGGGTCTCTTTTTATTGGGAGTGTGAATAATAAAGGATTTTATGTCATAAGTTGTTAGAGCCCCCCGGTTTGATTTATACGTCTGTTGGTATTAAACGAAGGTACCTGGAGTTCAGCTCAGCATCGATTGTGCTCGGAATTTTTTGTCTGCATGGTATTATGCGGAGTGGCGCCGCGGCCGTGAAGCTGCGTTGATCAAAGCGATTGTTGACTAGGGATGATCGATAACAATAGATGAAACATCGATAACCGAGTATGTAGAACATAGATCTTTATTGCTTTTAATATGTCAAAAAAGGTCGTTAACAGGATCACTACACTAGAGGTGAGATTTTCACCCGCTATTGTCGTGGCCCGATATTTGCTAATGTGTGGATCTAATAAGCATTGATAGTCCCACTAAATTTTAATGAAAACTCAACATTATAGCCTAAAGGAATTAAATAAATAAATGATTGTTGAAAATAGACTGATACAATAGTCGGGTCTGTGTTTAGCTCATTGATTAACGTTACTAAATATCGATAAATACAAGATTATTATCCAATACCGGACATCCCTATTGGGGACGATTAAGTTAGTTGATATATAGTTGGACAACAATAAGCGGGTGGCTGGCGCCTGGCGGCCGCGTTTGCTATATCAAATGACGAATATCCCAATCATACTCAGTTAAAATGCAACGCATTTGACGCGCCGCTGCAGCCCGCTGTATGCAATGCGAGCACAACATATATGTCGCAGTCAAAATGACAATTTTGTCCTTTTAACTTTTAACTAGTTAATTTCACTTGACCTATAATTAAAATCTATTCGGATTTCATTTGCGCTGCGTCTAAAGTAATGCTTGTCGACAAACATTTCGTAATTTTAACGATTCGACGTAGAATATAAATATTGGGATAAATCGTTGATATTTGAGATTAACTTTTTACGATATTTGTCTTATCAGTAGTGAGTAGTAAACGGCACTGAAACCTCAATTATTATAGTTAAATTACGTTTAATGTTTTTATTTTTAGTCAATCTTCGATAATTCTTCATGTTACTGTTACTTCCTTAATAGTTCATGTTAATGTCACGTTTTAGTATATCTACAAATTTTATGACTTTTATTAGGCAATTCAGTTATTAGACATTTTAACAGTTGGTCGGTGAAATGAAAATCTCGGTATAGAACATGTTTTCTCTGTCTTGTCAAAGCTAATGATAAGGATGTCGATATATTAAACGCACTGGTAACATTTTCACATCGATTATAGCGCACACTTCTCTCTGCCGCATTCTATCCGTTCTCCAATCAGGTAGATTAAAAAGGGTATTTTATAAATTAAAAAAACATAATAGTGCATTTAAACTTTTAATTCACGATACGTGTCTTAAAAATGTCAAATAGATCAACAAAATGTCGCATTCTTGTGATTCTGAGAAGAGAGCCGGCGTTTCTTGCGCCTAAGCCGAAGTTTTTAATAAATACGTGGCAACAAAATGACTTGTTATAATGCTGGGATTTGAACTCTGTACATACAGGATGTTGCAAAATAATACAACAATTGAAATTACGTCATCATGCATGGATATTATTTGGAGTGCATCCATGCATGTCTTGTAACTCGTATTGTGGTTAGTAATCTGGCTAGATTTTTTTTTTCAGAACAATCGAAATGTCAAGGCTATTACAATGTTGTATGAAGAAAATACTGTATATATTTATGTTGTTTTTTTTTCATTATCATTAACCGAGAGAAAAACAGAAATACACATTAAAAGGAAAAAAAACAAACAATAAAAGAACACCGTTACTGTTAAACTGTTTATTAATAATATTCAATAATGCAAGCGAAATTCATTGAATAACATACATTATGAAAAATGAAATTGGTAGTGATTTATTCGCTGTTGAAAAACTTTGCGGTACAATAAAATACGGTAAAATTTATTTCAAATGCGACATTGTCTCGGAAATACACAATGACGTCACAGTCAAATCACTCAGCAAGGGATTTGCCAATTTAATGTGTAAAACACTATTACTTACCTTTTTCCTCATTTTATTTTATTACATAATCATTCTATTCAGATGACATACAGTATGGAGTTAGTGATAATAAAATAATTGAAATTGGACGTTGTAACATGCTGTATATACGTGGGCGAGTCAGACGGCACGTCGCTAAGGGTCCCCTTTACGCTTATTATGGTCACATTTTTTTTTCTAACGCTACGGCAACAAAACGGGCTTGAATGAACGTTTGATGAATGAAATTCCAGCATTCCTCTGTTAAGCGCCCCCGGGATGAAAAAATATTGCTTCCTTTGCTTTATACGGGTTCATGTCTTTTGATACATGATGTTTCTTAAATGCGCCCAATACGTTTTGAGACATCGGTCACAATGTAAAGTTGTCTAAGATTATAAGTTATTTTTTTCCCATGAGATTTATAATTGTAAAAAAATTGTAACATTACTTTTTTTCTAATTTTGTCCTAGCGGTTGCCCGAGACTTCGTCCACGAAATTTTGAGATAAAGAGTAGCCTATAATATGCCCGTCTAAGTCGGCTACCCTTCGATGGAAGACCGATCGAAATTGGCGCAGTCGTTTCGGAGATTGCCCGGAGCAACCGCGGCTTGTGCGCAGACAGATAGACAAAATTTCTTAAATGCGTTCGTTATCCGTAACGCAAATACATTATCTTCCCGAAATCTGGAATTTTTCTTTTTTATACAAACATACACTCCAATTTTATGTTTTTTATAGATAGAAGATTACTATAACGTCAATAAAAAAAACACAGTTTTTTTAAATGTTTTTATCTAATAGTTTTTTTTAACAGAGGTATAACATAGATATTCTCAATATGTTTTTTGGCTATCCATCTACCAGAGCGAAGCTGTTTGTTTTGCTAGTATAGTTATAAACATGAAAACTATTTAAATATTCAAGCGGCCGTGATAGTGGGTATTGTGCCTACACATTATTGCTTCCATACTTTATTGGATCCCATTAATATTAAAACATCTATCCGCATGTTGTATGTAAAATCATAGTAATATAACACTAACTGTGGGTCTCTTTAACGGTTATTTAACTTGTCGTTAAGGGTAGATTTATACTAAAGGCCTGTCCCGCCACTGGCTGATAGGTACGTTACTGTCGGATAAGTTAATAAAATCCGATATTTTCATCACATATTTTACACGTTGGATTGTTACCTGACAATTTACAATTTGGTGGGACAGGCCCTTAGTCTTATAAAAGGGCGTTCTAGATTGCCATTTGTCGTGAGTTCGGTAGTCGGTAAGGTTTCGAACATTAGATTTGACCTTCCTCAGTTAGTAAGGAGCAACATAGGAATATTTTTTTTTAATGGAAATTCAAAAAAATTAAAATTAAAAAAAAACTATCAACTTCTATCGATCGGTGTATAAATCTGGAAAAAAGTATTTTGGAATTTAGCCTAATCTAATTAAACACTTAAATTGCCTTTAAAAATACTGAGCTATTTTCCATTCATCGTATCAAATTCCTGAAGGGCACATCTAATAGCAAATAAACGCCACTTTAACAAATCTTTGTTAAAAATGCAATCAGGTGCGCCCACGCTGCGCCTACGTTTCGCAGAAGGCTCCGGATACCCTCGGGTTTGTATGGGCATTGTGGGAAGCACAAATGGGCGGAAATACGTCGATCTTTGGTCGAAGGTACCATCTGCGCCGGCGCCTGGGCCCGCGCAAACGCAGTGCTTTGGCGCCGCCGCGATAGGTGAGAAAATCTCTCCCGGTTGTTATTGTCAAAGAGTAGTTAACTTGTATGATACCTAATACCAATGAAACTCTGAGAAGTTCAATTAATTTTTGTATAAGACTTAATAATCTGTTCAACTCTGATTTTCAACCGGCGTGAGTATTGACACATATTGTATATTGTATTTGTTTTTAGTTTGTATTATCTGCTGCTAATCTGATACTTTTTGTTCGTGGATTTAACCAAATACATAAAAAGTTTTTTTTGTGGTTCTAACCGTATTTTTTAAAATTAAGTAAAATTAACCAATCTAAATAATCACTAATATTACAATAAAAAATTTAAGCAATTTAGTTAAAATATTTATTTGAACACTGACACTTTTAAATTAAGCTTTGTGTTTTAAACAATGTTATCACTGTTTTTAATACTGTAGTAAGACCTTCGAACAGATTAATAATTGAAAGTTAGTGTAACGTAACTGTATTAATATTTAAGTGAAGTGATGGTTTCCAAAAAAGTAAGTGTACACAGGATTATAAGTGCACTATAATCTCACTGAAGAAGACTTAGAATGTCATTGTTGGTATAATCCAAAACAGATGTGTCAGTTGTCGCGTCTGTTTGATGCGGGCTGTAGTAACGGTTCTATGACGGAGGCGCGGCGCGTGAGTCATCTCGTTCATTGAGCGGCGGCCCATTGAGCGCGAGCGTTCATTACCGCTCCGGCCTCGCACACGCACGCCGCCCGCTGCCCGTTGCGCCTGTCCACTGCGCCTCTCCGCGGACGACACTCACTGCCTTACAGATCGACCACTCCAAACAAATACGATGTACGACACTTACATATCGCAACGAACTGTCTCAATTGATTGATGATTATTAGTTATTTGATTGCAGTACTAAAAGTTGAACTACTTTCAGATGGAGAATATCATGAAGACGTACGTGTGGCTGTCAGCCGCCGCGCTCCTAGTGGCCTGCGCCAGCGCCGGCGTGGGAAGCAAGAGACCGTTCACACCGACCGACTCCATACTGGATATCATCGATACCGAACAAGTCGAGAAAATATTAGCCGCGCGGCGACGCACCGAGGAGGCCACCGCCGCGTCCGCCTACGTGCAGCACAACGAGCTCGGCGAGGGCAGTGCCGAGGCCGTGCTCGTCGCCACACCTGACGACGACAGCACGGATGTGCCGCCGGGCGTCGACTTTCGAAAAATACTTAAGTCATCGAAAAACGCTCTGTTTGTCACGAAGAAGGAGTACCTCAAGGAGGACTGGTGTAAAACGGAACCGCTGGTGCAGAAGATTCGCGAACCTGGATGTTTGCCGGCGACAGTGATCAACAAATTTTGTTACGGCCAGTGCAATTCATTCTATATACCGAAGGGCCCACGGCGGAGGGACGGCAACGAGGAGCGACCTCCGCCGGCCTTCAAGTCCTGCTCCTTCTGCAAGCCAAAGAAGTTCACCTGGATCACGGTGACGTTGCGTTGTCCCGGCCAGAACCCGCCGTTCAAGCGCAAACGGCTGCAGAAGGTGAAACAGTGCAAGTGTCTGCCAGTGGGGGTGAATTGATGTCGGCGGTGCGACGGGCCCTGACACCACGGAGGCGGCTGGACCGTCACATCGAGCGACGAGGTTCGCCTAGACGTTCCTAGAGAGCACGACCGACGGAGTCGCAAGTGCTAACGAACAACACGAAGATCGGTTTGCATTGCAACACCGATGTTACCTACTATGCTAAGTGAACGATTGCGTATCGCGTAACGAGTGGACAGTATAGAGATTCAGATCGCGCTCGCATACGTCAATCGAGATGACGTCATGTGATGCGTGAATTGCAATAAAATAACATTGATGTAGAGCGACTCCGACCGGCAGTCGCTGGTGAGCTTTAATTGCCCTCAGTGATATCGATATTTTGTTCTCAATTTTATGTCGAAAAAAGTCGAGTCGGAGTCAAGTGACCTTGCAATCGATTAACAGTTCCGATTATTCGGAGCGCACGTAACAGTGGAAAAGTATGATCTAATTGCGTACTAATGAGATTCAAGTGTTTGTTTATTTTGATACTATGATAAAACAAAGCCGCTACAGGACATGTGTGATATTAGAAGATTTTACTTAGACTAAGACTCAAGGTGATTTCAGCGCATTGTGTACATTTTTATTTATTTTAATTATTTCGTTAAATCAGTAGTTTAGATGAAATACGCTTATAGAACACGTAAATATTATCTTAAGTATAAAATCTATTGATTTCGATATAATATTAAATGATCTTTTCGATCTTGTGATCTCTTAACTGCTCTCAAGAATCTCTACATATTTAATTTTTGTCAGGTTTATAAATTTAACTTTTTAAAATTCTAGCATATATTGTATCACATTTAAAGTAACATGTAATGTTAAAATTAGTTTAAAAGTGTTAATAACAAACCAAGAAAATAAAAGAAGGAAAAGTAAGGTAAGAGTAATACAGTTTCTAAAATATTAACTTCAATAAACAAGTTGTTAAACTTTGAATTGATTTACATTATTTTTTGCTGTTTTAATACTTTTTGTTGTTTGGATTTTTCTTTTTATTTAATTTCTTGCCATCGATTGTTTTACCATTCTTTTGTTTTGTTCATAAAACCGTGGGATTCCACTGCCGATGCATCCATACAAGAACATATCGACCGTCTCTACGTCTGCGTAAGAAAAAACCTCTAAATTAAGATTATCAAATAGAACTCGAGATAAACAAGTTTTGATTTTTAATAAGATATCCTGTCAATGAATTTCGCATTTACCTAAGTTTACGTAGGGACCGGTCGATATTTTTATCTGTATAATTTAAAGAGAGTAAGATAGCAGTATGTTTCCGCAGTGGAAATAGTAAAATCTGTTAAAATATGATTTTTCTGACACGATAATTAAATCACATTTCCGACTGATTTAAGACGTATTTTGTGATGATTTGTACAAAATTAATATAATAAACTTTTGGCATACAACCATGTTTTTATTACCTTATTACCTTATTTATTATCAAAGCACATTAAATAGCCTTGGCCTTTGTCGACATGAGACCTTGACACGACCTTAAAAACTTTGTACGTACGAAGCTTTATAATGTGTTAATTTTCTTTAGTCAATATCTATTTAAATCCAAGTGTGCATATAGATTTTAAGCAATTATATCATTAGAGTTTTTAATAAGATAGATTTTGTTAAGATTTTTTTTAAATAAAATATAATAGCAATAAATATAACTAAAGTGTGTTTGACGTAGTCCAATTACTCTTTTCTACTGCACTCGATATTAGATACCAAGTGGAATTAGTAGGCCAAATCCCACATAACTGTCCGTCATCCTCCAGAAGATTTCCCCTCTGATATCTTAAAAAGTCTAATAATTTTTTTTCAAAACATAGAAATATTATTTTTTTTTTTAATTCAGAAAAAGAGAAATGTATAACGAAAAAGAAGATACAAGAAATTTCTTAGACTTGATTTATTAATATAATAATTTTCTAAACAAAAAATAATAAGTAATAAGTAAATTTCTATCGTGATGTTTGTATCACATGGTGTCTCTATTCTTCCATTTAGAATGAAAGTGACGACGAAATGATTTCATTCAATGGGAACTCACAGCAAACACAAGACGTAGCTCATGTCTCAAGGTCAAGGGCGCAAAACTGTGCAGGATTTCGCATTATGAAGTCCTGGTAGCTTCGTTTGTTGCGAGTAGATGTATCATTTGAGATTTATGACCCTAGTTACTGTCACGTTACACAAATAAAAAAGTTCATCAATTTCTAAAAAAAATATTGAGAAATTTGTTCCTTGCTATTCCTATAGAGAAGTTTACGTTTACTTTAAAAACGGTTGAGTTGCTTTTTAATGAACAAACTAATATATCTACACAATATTACACTGCACACATATATCTATACACTTCTTCAGAAACAATACAAATCTCTGGAGACTCATTGATTACTTTGACGTCTTGCCAATAACTAAACTCCTTGCAACAATGCAACAATAAGAACATTACTCCGACGCATTCGGGAGCCATTGCATTGTCAGACGGGATCGCAGATTTTACCTTTAACTATAGAGAAATGGACTAGGTAAAGAATTGTTATTGTTTTAAAAAATAAATGAAAAATACCCAGCACAATAACAAGCAACTTCAGGACTTGTTCGGTTTATATCTATGCGCATACCTCATTATCAAAAAAAATCTGTAACAGGTCCTGTTTCTTAAAAGTCAAAGTATTTAACAAACGGAAGTTAAATCAATAAAGAGATTGTTTTGAGACAGACCGGACTATGTACGGAGACCATTGTGAGGTCAAGGCACTGTAGTTGCATATTTTATTATATTACAAATATTTGCGCATACAAAATTTATAGATCGTAAACAAACACTTAGTCTTGTAGAATCTATTGACCTGGATTGTGTTCCGGATCTTCTAAATGTTTTTTTTTTTACTCAATTATTTCATTATGATCAGAATTTTTCGTGATATTGTGTAAGAATTGCTGAAAGAATACAAGATACAAACCATCTTTATTCTGAAGAACTCGGAGACTGGATGCTTTAACGCAGGATACTAACCATCTATCCTCTGGAGAACCCTGAGAAGTGATGCTTCAATTTACTTATTTCGCTGGCGGAGTCACTCAAAGTGGGTCTTAGCTATCGAGACAAGAGATGTATCAACTTATCGTTTATTTATAACTAGCTGTTCCCGTGCAACTTCATCCGCATAAAATTATGTAAATTTTAATTTTATTGATTACTATGGCAATTTTGGTTCCTTGATATTGGCAGGAGCATATGGTCTCTTTCCCACATTGGGGGTTTTTATCCAATTCATTTATCCCTAAGTTTAATTGCGTGAAAATATATAGCTTAAAGCATGACGTAAGTGTAGGCCTTTTTTTTTATCAAAAAAGGAACTATTTAAAAAATATGTTGTGATTGCTGCCATCTTACGCCACAAAGTAGTGTGTGTTTACGCTTTGTTATATGAGTATAGTTTAGAAGTATAGATAGATAGATGAGCTGCAATTGAGGATGTTTGTTGTTTTTGATGAAATATAGTGCAGCAGTGGTAGTTTGTTTTCTGCTATAATAAATTTAAAATTTACTGCAGATCTGTATGTAGAGGTCAGATAAAATTGATTGTTATTCTTCAGTGTTTCGTACGATATTCAAAGTTTGGAAGGCACTCTAATGCCAACCATTAAGGATGTTAGAAATGGGAGGTTTTAACTAAAACAACAGTTACATTCACATCAATATTTTTATTAAATTTGAAGCAGAAGAATAGTGTATAATATCTCATTGCAACCTCAAAATAATGTTCCTTCTCAGTATTATGCCTACAGATACATTCATTTCAATATTCCCCATACATTAGTATTTTCACTTTGAGTTTAAAATAAAATACAATGTTCCAGTTAAAGAGATTTTGATACAAAATTACAAATATAAATTAACGGATAGCTTAATTGTTGTATCGAAAATATTTTCTTTTTAGCTTAAATAGTAAAGTTAAGTTATAAAATATAATTCTACGTTGCACGTAGCAAATTTGCCTTAAATAGGGTAACTCATTTTGCTAACTTTCGAACAATAGAAGCAAAATTATAAATAATGAAGATATGGTTGATAACCGCTACTTTAAATGATGTAGTGTTTTTCATTTATAACTACATGATTGAAAAACACTTACGTCCTTAAATCTAAATCTAGTGAAATCAGCATTCCTTGTAGACTCATAAATGTACACGTTAATGACACTAACTATCCTATATTTTATTTCTAGAAAATTAATAATTAATATGCTTATATCTAGTTTACATACTAATGTATATATTTATGGGTTAATATTCATTTTAATTGTACATCTTTTTACGCCACATCATCATGTTATATTTACAAACTTATCTCAAAAAGCAAATCAAAACATGCTTAAGTTTTCGCTTTTAATTATTTTAGATTGTTTTTATTGACCGATTTCCCAAAAGAAGGAGGTACTCAATTCGTCGATATGTTTTTTTTTTGTATATATTTGTTATATCATGTAGTTATTTTATGTGTATGTTTTTGGGTTTTCAGTTTTTTTTCTATTTAATTGAAATATTGTTGTCTAGTTTGTACATACATCAAGAAAGATTATTCGAAGTTGTTTTCAATAGTTTGTCTTTGATTTCTATTAAATGATTTTTTTTTATACATTCCTGGTATTTTCATAGAGAATACATTCCTTTTATGTCAATTAAATGTCTTAATTTTTTTTAGTCATTTGTATATTTGCTTAGGTATCAGTAGTTATGTAAACTCTCTCTCGTTGATTTTGTAATCAATTGTTTCGTTCTTTCTTGTTATGTACTTCATGAATTTCAGCATTTGGTATTGAATTTTAACTTTCACATTAATAATTTCTGCTGTTATAGCTAATGTCTAGTGCTCGTCCTGCGAGTTCACTCGACGTCGTAAATTCTAGTAATATTAAGTTTAAAATTAAGGTGGTTTTAATCAATTTTACTTTGTATGAATTTATCGTTATATCCTTGTTGGTATTGAATGTAATTTTGTTTGTATAAATAATCTTGATAGTTTTTGAGTTCTCACGTATGTTTTGATCTGTTTTATGGTTATTTACGCTAAGATATTTGATGATCTGTGCGTTTATTTACAATGTTCGATGGAGAATTTTTGAAATTACAATAAAGTTTATCTGATATTATAACTAAATAATAAAAAATAAAAGCCAAATAATAAATGTAAATTAAAAATGATTTAGGAACAAATAATAAAGTTAAATAAGTATAAATATGATAAATGAAAATATAATAATAAAAATATACCAATAGATCAGTAAATTTATTTTGATTTTGCAATAATATATTTCTTTCGCTCAGTTTACTTTTGACATGTAATACAAATCAAAATATTTCTTGTTAAAGAGAGAGGAGTTAAAGTTAGAAGGGAGGAGAGAGAGACCGGAGAGAAAGCGAGAGAATCTTGTTTTTAACATTATTACTGTGAACATGTTGAACTATATTGTGATCTCTGTTTCTTCAGGATAGATAAAAAGAGACGGAAACATGTTTATACATATGTTTTCACAGTGGAAATCCAAGGATCGTCTTCAGATGTTTTGTGTGCCTACTGACAAATGTTACACGATGTCACACGGCGAGCATTCAAGCAGTCAGGGCGTAGTGTTACGGGGAAACCAGCAAAGGTGCGATGCGAAAATGACATTTGGGATGGTTTGAGATATTTGAAGACATTATCAGAAGAAACTTTTGTATGTCTGTTGTTTTCAAATATCTACTCGTTACTCGCTCCGTAGATGAAATACAAAGAGTAGATTTATCACAAAAGATAAGATTGACTGAAATAGATAGAATAAGAGAAGTTAAGAAAGGAAAGATTTGTATTACTTGCCGTATTAATCAATTAATCAAAATTTATAATTATTAATCACAAAGCTTTTCTTAACTCTATGTTTACACGAGGGATGAAAGATATTCATCACAAAAATACAGCCCTTATCAATGAATTTAAGTACATAAACCACACGGGACACAAATCTAATTGAAAAATAATGCCTACATCTCAGGTCACGACCGTCATCCTTTCGTTTCCATGCGAAACCTTAACGAAATTATATAAGGATTTATATGGGACTTAATAAATAATTGTAACGCACTTAACAAGGTATAGACAGGTATGTACTCAACTTAACTTTAAGTTGGAAAGAAATTATTATATACATAAAATATAGTACAGGTTTAAAATGTGCTTTATTGTTACTGTTTCATCACGATTTTTGACTTTAGTGTTTATGGATGTTATAAAAAGAAATTAAATATGTAGTTTTTAAAAAAAAGTATTTTATAGAACAATTTAAAAAAAAATATTGAACGAAAGTCTTAAATTTCAGCCTATTAAATTGAATTTAAAAATTGTAACTCTTGCTG